CCCTGTGCCCCTGCATCGATGGGGAGGAGCACCAGAGCGCCCTCATTCACTCTCCACTCCTTCCAGCGCTCGCCTCGCTGCTCTCACTCGCCATGCCATGGCCGGTTGTAGCCAAGGCCACCCACAGCTCGAGCTCCTGCCGTTGTTGCCCACCTCCATGCCTTCCCTGTCCCAGCTAAGTGCCGCTATGCCTCCACCGCCACATGCCGCCCCGATGCGCCCCTTTTTCCGGCCTCGCTCGCCGCTGCAGTTGGTCGTCGCTGGAGCTGCGCCTCTGCGCGCCGCGCACGCATGTGGCCGTGCCACCTTGGCTTGCCTCTAGCCGAGAAGGCGCTTGCCGTGAGTGCAGCCGAGCACCTTCTCTGCTCTTGCTCGCCACTAGTTGCCGGTGAGGCCCTCCACCGGCCAGGAGTTGAGCCGCCGTCGACTCCTCTGCTCCGTCCCCTGCTTGGCTCTCCGAAGAAGAAGGAAGGGGTATAAATGTAGATAGAAACTTTTTGCTAGGTCCAGATGCAAAATGCCTAGAGAGAAGGATTTTTCATATATGGGCTTAGTTAATTAGGGGAAATTCTGTGTTCACTTTGCAAAAGCGTTTTTCCTTTTCTTTTTCTGTTTATTGCAATTAATCGAATGAAACTTTAGAAATTCGTAGTAAATCGTAGAAAAAACGAGAAATATCAAATGAGGATGTTTTGGAATACTTGAGAGTATATCTACATAGTAGAGTCATGATATGATATGTGTTAGTATAAGGTTTTTGTTGTTTTTATTTATCAATGTTAATTAGGGTTTTCTAGGAATAAATTCATATCTAAAGTTGTGTTGCTCTAATTGCTATGAAATTTTTATGGTAGGCTACTGATGCTATATGTGTGCTGTGTTAAAAATTTCATGCTCATTGGATGCAGTATGAGTGAGTTATTGATTTAACTTGTTTCGTGCTTGATAAATGGTTTATAAATAATTTATATATGCAAAAATGTGAAATGTGGTCCCTTTGCCTTGGCATGGTGATATTGTGGCCTGAGAAACCCTAACATGGCTCTATGTTTATGGAAAATGTTGATCTTTAGATTTATCTTGCCCTCACTTATTTTTCTTGCAATAACAATTTGTCTTTTTCATAGTAATTAATATATATAACCTGAGCATGTGAAATTTATGCAATAGCCATGTTTTGATAGCACCTACCAGCCATAAAAATATCAGCCCCAAACTAGTTTTTCTCATATATCACTAAAATTATATATATATATATATATATATATATATATATATATATATATATATATATATTAGGGGAAAGGGTTAGTAGAAGTGTATTTATAGATAAAGCTGGTAAATGTATTTTGGTGATGCTTGAGTGCTGGGTGTTTCAATAAAGTGTTGTTAAGTATATTGGTGGTGGTTTAAGTTCTTTGAATGGCTCATGTGGGTATGCCCTTCGTTAGCAAAACAAGTGAAATCTCAAAGTGTTATATTCTGAAATGGCTGCATGTGTAATTTCTATTGTGATGCTAACTTCGTGAATCAAATGATATTTTCTAAAGACGTGGTAAATATCAAAGTTGTAGATAATCTCCTTATCTTGCTTGTGTTAAAATTTTATGACCATAGGCCTGATAGTTTCGGAGTTATGCTCCCGGCAAGCCCATTGTCAGATTTTGCTTTTGCTCTGTATAGATTTGAATGGTTGCTTTGGTTGACTTATTTAAACATGGAATCATGTATTGGTGATAATAGGAGAGTTGTAGTGATTTTTATAAGATTTCTAAAATGTCTAAGATCACTGCTTTTGGTGGTCTAGAACTCTAGTTATTGCAGTTCAAAGTAGAATGGCAGATTCTGTCCAAATCTGGATAGAGATGTCCTCTTTATGTTGTTTGGCCTTGTTGGATGTGAAATCATCTTAAGATGGTAATAAGAAAGTTATATATAACTTAATAAGCTTTCTATAAAGCTAAATACCACATTTGTTGAATGGATAGAACTCTGGATATGCATCTCTGAAGTTCATGTAAGTTTTTTGTCCATTGTTTGTGCAGACCTGCTTCTTGGTGTGTTTGAACTTGGTTAGCTTTAGAATCAGCTCTGAGTGTAAATAAAAGAGTTGTAGATAATTTCATTAGCTTTTCAGAAAGTCTAGGATCACCTTTATTGGATGTTGGGATCTCTATTTATGACTGAAACAAGTGACTGCTGTGTTGCTGTCTAGGAAGTGCATGTGTAGGTTGATTGATTTAGCTTGCCCTAGTTGGTTAAACATGTTAAGTTGACATCGATTGATGAATACTTGCCATGGCTACACTCATGTAATTTGGGTGCCATGCTTGATATGCTTGCCATATCCACCTGTTGTGCTTGAATAGTGTTTAGTTAAATAACTCTAGGTGCCTATGTCTTGCATAACCTTATGCTTGTCTTGAACGCTTTTATGTGATGCATTCGTATTACCATTCTTCGCATTCATGCACTTGTATTTTGCATCTCATCTAGGTATGCTAGATGCACCACGTGAAGAACGTGATGTTGGAGCCTAACCCGAAGATGGCATATGGTGGACCTATCCCGAAGATGAAAGGACTAAGCAAGTGCTAGGATCGAAGATGTCACCAAGACGGTGCGAGCTAACTGAATTGACTTATGTCGGATCCTAGGCAAGCCCCGGAGCATTCTAAGTCTCCTACCCTCTCTTTTATAAATGCACATGAGTATAACTTTTATATGATGCATTAGGTGATAGGAGTTGGATGAAACCGTTGGTGCATATTCCCTACCTTGTCCAATATATACCAATACATGTACTCTTACTAGATGAATAGGCTGATCTATGCTTAGCCATGCTTAGACCGGTAGAAGTCGGGTGATTTCCTGTCGTCTGCGAGATATAGGTGGATACTTGAGCACGGTTGGCTATATTTGCTATCATGGAAAATAACCATGTGATGATGAATAAATGGAGACCAGGCGGAATCTTATATGTTGGTGGTGTGATGACTTATAGTGATTCCGTCTGTGTCGGTTAAGGATCGGATCGTTGAAGGCCCTATCGTCATGCTGAACACATGCCTCTCACTTAGCTGGCCGGATAAGTCGTTCTGACCGTGAAGCCGAGTAGGTCAACTCAGGCCGGGACCCGTTAAATGAAAGTGCGCACTCTAGAGATAGTAAGGATGTGCGGGGAGCCGGTGTGGGCCAAGGGCAGGTTAGAGTCCTGATCAACCTGGCATCCGGTAGTGTTCCTAAGGGTGCGGCGCTGATCGAACCCGCGAATTGGACCTGAGTTGTACCAAAGGTGACCTAAGACTACTTTGGCGCAGGTATGTCAAGGTTTATGTTAGGAATAAATTCTCAGGTGGTTGAAATCGATTCGAATCGCCGTCTCTCCCGGATAGTGAGAACTTGACAGAGCTTCTTTCCTCGTAGTAATGGATGGAACATGATGGTTATGATGATGATATGATAAACCGGATATGGTTAATATTGTGATGCTTATTAATTAAGTGATTGCTCTAGAATAGGTGCAAAGTTAGTCATGATAAGCTTCACTGAACTTGATGCTAAAACTTGAATAAAAAATTGAAAGTAAGGACTCATGGTAATAATGCTCTTTTTGCAAAGTTATGCTATCCAACCAGCTCCACTAAATAAGCCTTGCATATCCTTGAGAGTCTTTTTATTTTTCTCTTGTCGGGTAAGTCTAGCTGAGCACATTTGAGTACTCAGGGTTTATCCCACCATGTTGCAGGTGAAGTTCTCGGCCTGCGGAAGAGGGTGGCTAACCAGTGGTGGACTCGGTGACTATATTTATTTCTCATATATTTGCTTTTATCAGAGGATGTCATTTATGCTAGCAATGTATTTGGAACTTATATTAATATAATTATTTGAAAGCTACGTTGTTTTTCTTAACCGGTTTTGAAACCTAAACTTGTACTTTTATTTGTGAATCCATCTGTAATATTATTTTCGCTGCAACTCCGTGTATGTGATGTGTATTTGCTTAATCATGCGATCTTGGTTGTGACGTTGATTTACCAAGGTCCTTCGTGACACTCGGCGGACTACCGGGTTTATATAAGTGAAAGTATATGCGCGTCAACGTGTTAAATAGGGACAGTCATACTTGATCTTGTATAAATTGGGCGGTTCAGTTCATTAGTACTAGCTGCAAATTCCTTTGATGACTGCACGATTGTGGCCGGTGGCTGGTTGCTGTTTTGGTACACACCGGGATTGTTGCATGCTGTGTGCTGCTGGGGCACGATGGGGTTTCGGCGTCTCGCGGTTAACAGTCGTTGCCCTCACGCGGCGTGCCGCCGTTGGTGTCTGTTCAGAGCAACAGCTGCTCGTTCAGGTGAGGCAGCATCCTGTCAGCGGCGCGCGCCGTTCGGCCCCGACAACAGGCGACGCTACTGTAGCGGAACCGGCAACACATGAAGACGCTGAAGCTAGTGAAGTTAGGCCTCGTCGGTCTGCTAGAGCTACGCATCCAAGCACACGTTACGTGGGCCCTGAGTGGCAGTAGTTTGCATTAGGCCCAATTGCTGAGTGTATAGTACAACACAACACATTTACTTGCGCTGGAACAGCACAACACGTATATGAACATATATATATAGCAGTGTAATAACACACACGTCGCCTCAATCTGAACCATAATTAGCAGGCAGATGTATTGTTTAAGAAAAGATACAAAGCCAGTTGAAATATTTACTTGTGTTCTCAACTTGATGTGTTAGCAGCGGGCCAAAGCAATGCAAGATTGCATTCATCTTAACATCTGGTTCTGTGATTGCCACCACCAAGTAGCACATACATACTGCACTTCAATTTCTTTCTTACAATGTATTATTCTTTCAGGGTGTCCATGGATCAACCACTACAAATTTAGATCCAATATGAGCACCAAAGAATAGTGGGAATGACAACACAAGTGTCACCAAATAATGGGGGCAACAAGGAATCCTACTTTGCCACACCAAAGAAAAATTGCTTACTCACGCAGGTGTTGCTTCCTTGCTGACTTCTGCCCCATGGACCCCTTTCAAGTTCAAGATTCCTGTCAGGCCTCGCCCTTTAGCAAGCCGCTCAATTTCACTAAGCTTCACTTTAAGATCTTCCAGTTCTTTAGCTAAACTCTCTTCCCTTTGTTTCAATTCCTTGATATTAGTAAAAAACAATAGTTAAGCTAAAACAGCACTTGTAACATTGGAAACAAGATTAACAAACAATCAATGTCTCTCAGCGTGTGCACACATCAATTTTCCAGAGCATATATATGACAGGACCAATTCATTGAGAGAATTACCTGTATGGCCCTATGAAACTCACTTAATTCTTGTATGGCCCTGAAAACTTGAAAGTTTCTTGTATGGCCCTGTATTCGAATTTCTATGACCTATACGACACTACCGTCACTTCTGTAAGACATCATAGTTAAAAATGTGGGCCATCCTTGTCAGACCAATCTGAAAGTGACCAGAATGCCCCTGTGGCTGAAACAAGCCAGAAGACAGAAAGTCGTCGTCTCCTCTACCGAGCGTTTCTCCTCTTCCCCACGAACCCGAGATCGGGCGTTGCTTGGAGACGGGAGAGGGGCGCGGCCAGGGAGGGTGAGAGGCGACGCCCGTGGCCAGGGCGTGCGGCCACCAGGCCAGAGCGGCAGCCGTCTGGTGGCCGGTTCCAGGCCAGGGGCGCGCGGCCTCCTGTGAGCGAGCGCTGGCAGGGGCGCGTAGCGATGAAAACGGACGGAAACGGACGGAAAACCCCCATTTCTACTTCCGTTTCTATATTTTTTGGCGGAAACGGGATCGGCTTCGGAAAATGCGGGTTTGGAAACGGAACCGGAATATGCGGGTGTATGGAAACGAACCAATACAGTCATAAATTCAACGGAAACGGTCAGAAGCTGGGAACTTGAGCCGGAATACCGCACGTTATACTCACAAATCATAATCACACACAAAAATAGTTCACAAATGACAAACTTCACCCTCACAATTCTATAAGCTTTGGATACACAAGGTTTGGGTTTTGATTATGGTAGGGCCCACATGTTTTTTTTAGAAAAAGTAAAAGGAGCACCGGTCGTCTCCTACCCACAGCACACAGGCACCAACCACACACAAGAGCAGGAGTAGCAAGCATCGCCACCTGACGGCCAGCGAGTAGCAGCAGGGTGATATAATGTTTCATGCGGTTGGTTGAAATCCGGTAAAATTCCGGCTAAATATGGAATTCCGAAAATACGGACGGAAAAACACCTTTCCCATTTCTGTTCCGATTCCAAAAACCTCCATCCCGTATTCCGTACCATTTCCAGATTTTTCCGAAAATACGGAAACGGGCGGGTCAAATATGGAAAAACGGACGGTTCGGAACGGGAAAAATTCCGTCCGTTTTCATCCCTAGGGGCGCGCAGCCTCCAGCATGTGGAGGCCGGCAGGGACGCCGGCTTGCGAGTGGGGAGAGCAGCGTGCGGCATCAGGCCCAGGCACGGGATGGAGAGCGGCGGCGGCAGCGCAAGTGAGCTCCAAGGCGGGCTGCAAGGTGCTCGACTAAATGCCAAACCATGGTTAGGGGCGATCCTTCTAGTGCAGCAAGCTTCGAGATAGATCAGGGAGGCTATTTTATTTAAGAAAGGTGTTGTCTAGTTAAATTCAAACCGAAGTGCAGTTGTATAGTTTTTTACTAGATAGTTCTCCCTAGATCAAGAGTACTTGCTAGGTCTCACTTGTTTAATTTGTATTCTTGTGATGCATAAATATTTCTTTTAGGAAGAGTAGATGTCAATGATTTGATGTCACTTGTGCATTCATATGTTTCATATTTGAACTCTTGCCTATTACAGTGTATTGTGAAATAATGAGCTGAAATCCTAGCGGAATGTGCTTTGTTCTCTGTTTTGTTCTGACCTGGGATACTTTAGTTCAAAAAGGAATGAAAAAAAGCAAGAGAAGCATTTATTATATTTTGTTTGAATTATGAAAAACATTATATATATAATTTATATTGATGATTCTAATAAATATTGTAATTACGTGTATGATCTGGTTTGTATCAAGAAGCAACACAATGGTGTACATGAATCATATTGAGATCTCATTAGTGTTTATCTATATAACGTGGATGAATTATAATGCTTAAATAATGCATATTAGCATAACAAATTATTTGCAAATTTTAACCACAGTAATATAATGTGGATGAATTTTAATATCAAAATAAAGCATACTAATAGGTAGTGTCATAGAGGTAATAAGTATATTTTTAACATCACATGAAGCAGTGTCATATAAGGAATCACTGCATTTTCTAAAACAGGGGTATTCTGGTCATTTCGCATGACACTTGACGGTGTTAGCCTCCCAAACTGACGGTAGTGTCGTATAGGACACAGAAATTCGAACACGGGGTCATACAAGAAACTTTGAAGTTTTCAGGGCCATACAAGAAATAAGTGAGTTTCATAGGGCCATACAGGTAACTCTCTCATTCTTTTTTGCAGGCCCTGAACCATACAAAAGTGGTTCTCCACTCTATCACCTAATAACTCAGCTAGGAGCATTGCATTCACAAAAAAATTCAGTTGAAGACTTGCTGTCGAAAATTCCATCAATACCCAGTTTTAGGCAGTTATTAGAAATTCTCTATGGTTATGTGAATTCCCAGGCCAATAGAAACTCCCGTGTTCCACAGGCAAGCTGTAAAAGCAGTGGTGACATACTTTGACTTGCTTTGGCAAGAGCAGCATGACAGCATCTAATGCTTCTGTTGCATAAACCCTCTTAACTTATTACCAACATCTCTGAACATGCACATATGAGTCATAATGTGTTCCTCTGAAAAAGGCACGAATCCATAATGAATGTTCATAGTACTGAAGCATGTGCTGTGCACACCATCACATGATATATCATGATCAAATTCCTGGCAGGCGAGCTGCACGCAGGATGTCAATTATTTCTTTAAGTAATAAATATATCCTCCTTATGACACTGCGTATATCCTGATATCTCTGTATAAGTTTATTAAAAACAAACTACGATTATCAGAATATTTCTATTCCTGTGGCTACATGGTAGGGAGACAGGTTATGTTTCACGTTTATCCTGTGTTGTGGAGGGGGAAATAATCTTCAGGACAGGATGGAGAATAGTGAATAAGCCAGGTAAAGAGCAGTTAGCACGGCACATTTGTGTGAGCTCAAACTCTTAAGGCACTGGAGAGAAACGGCATACCGCAAGTTCCTGTTTACGAGCTTCCTCCTTTCTAGCCTCGGACCTTGCACTTCTCTGTACCTCAAAAATTAGAGCAGCAACAGCGACCTATGATAATAACAAGAAGTAAACAGTGTAGCATTAGCTGAGAGTTAAAGAGCATCCCTGTGGGGGAGCTGCAGATGTAATAGTAGCACAGATGATTTATGAATGGTTTAGAGAAGCACCGAAAAGATAAAGGCTTCCCCGATGAGATCTGTAGCAGCTTGAACAGCTTTCTGCTCATCTAAAGGCCTGATCTCAACATTTGTGGAGTGCCCGTAAATGCGCCTTTGTATCTTGGTGGTGATACGATGGTTTATCTGTAACAATGCTTATACCGTCAATATGTATGAACCGCTAGAGGAGAAGCAAGGATCTTCATTCAGTAGCATAGAGTGCTCCCACGTAGTAGCTTATATTCTGCTAATATAGCATTTAAGCAGGCAATATTGAGTTGAACAACAAGTCGGACAGTAAGTTGTGCATATTACAATTTATTTATGAGCAGAGATCTGTCCTCGGATCCCTCCCTCCCTCCCTATTGGGTTGTAAGATTCAGATTGGCACGAAATGGAAGCGGGCTAGCCCTAATCGAATGAAAGGGAACGAAAGGATCTCCATTTGAGTAGCGCTACATTGTTTGTTGATAATCTAGTACTACGACTAGATAATTCCCCCAGAGCCAGAGGAGGAAGGCGAGAGGACAGAGAAGAGGAGGTAAACGGCGGTAAATTTCATACCTGGGCGATGGCGATGATGAAGTTGCGGAACTTGGGGTGGACGGCGGCCTGGCTCTTGAGGCGGCTGGCGATGGGCTTGGACAGCGTCCGCAGCGCCAGGGTCCCCAGCTTCGCCACCGGCAGCGCCATTCACGGCGCCCCTCCTGCTGCTGCTGAGTGCTGATGCTTCCCTTCCCTTCCCTTCCCTTCCCTTTCCTCGCGAGGGCTAGAGAGGGAATCGAACCGAATCGAATCGCGCAGGATCTCGCTTGGTCGATGCGAATGCGATGCCACCAATCCGATCGAATCGAAGCGATGAAGAGGAACTGTTGAGGGCCGGAGCCCGGAGGGAAGGGAAGGGAATTGAGTCCGTAGAACACGTAAAGGCTTCAGCTGAAAACGGAACAGGGGAGGAGAAAGAGGTGGGAAGGCCTCTCCAATCTGGGGTTTCTGATGAGTTTCGTTGATTATGACAGTATATACTACTCTTGTTATTTATACGGAAACGCTATACGTCAACCATAACCGAATTTTTCAGCGTTGGACCTGACTCCGACCCGACAGCTGCCGCCCGATCTACCGTCTACGTCACGCCGCCCCTGCCCTTCAAGCGTTGGATCTGATCGATCACGTTTTGTCTCATCTCTGGGTGGACTCGCAGATACCACAGCAAGTGTGCAGCCCGGGGTACCGCCCGCGCGTCGGCCTCCCCGCCGCGACCTCGTCGGCGATGATGATAAAGCAAATTTGCAAACAACTCATCGACGCAGCTAAAGCCAAAGAAGAAGAACAACAACAAAGAGATGTGGCGATACCATATCTCGAAGATGCCGGTGAGGTCGGGACGCTACGCCTTCCTCGGTGGCGGCGTCGGTGGCGGCAGCGTGGCATGGCATTTCGAAATTTTGTGAAGATTTTGTATTTTTTTTTTTTGAAATTTGTAAAAAATCTGTGAATAATTTGACATATATTTCTTTGATGTCTGGAATCCATACAAATAATTTGTAATTTTTTTTGAAAAAATTGACATATATTTGTGTTATTCCTAACTTACATCACTCTGTCCAATAAATTACACTAAATAAATCATTGTAAATCTCCTACAACTAAAAAGAACAAAACGTGGACATTTTTTGGTGCGACAATTGTTTTGCTTCGTCCGTCTGCCCACGCCTGCGATCCCGCGGCACCGGCAGGTGGGACCTCCTCCAAGCTTGCGATGCCGCGAGTCCCCCAACCCTCACCCCGACGCCTCGGCCCGCCCGCGCCCCTCTGGTGCCCTCACCGTGCTCGACCCCCCACGCGATCCTTCCCCTGCGATCCTTGCTGCCGCTCGCCCACGACCACGACGCGCGAGGTAAAATGGAAAGCCAACACAATCACCACAACGAATTTTACCTTCCTACAATCCTACTTCTCCCTCGCCAGATCGGTCGCACCTGCACTCAATCCTCGCGGTGGATTTGGCCTTCCTCCGATGTTGCCCTCGCCCTCGCCCGTCGGCATCGCTGGACATCACACCCATGCCGTCACCGTCACCCTCGCCCGCTGCACGTGCTCTGTGATCCCGGTGAGTGTTGCGGCTGTCTGCCACCCCTCTCCCTCCTTCCCCCTACGCTGGATGTGCTGCTGCCGATCTACCAGGCTACGCGGAGCCACGGACTTCAAATCTTCTCCCCGCCGCCCCTCTCGTCGATCGCTGCTATTCCGCCTACCGGGGCCCGCGCCTACGCCTGCGCTCGCCGGTTGGGGTGACGGTGGCAGGCGGCCTGTCTGCCAGCGGGCCCGCGCCTGCACGCTCGCTTGCCAGGGCGGCCGCGGCGATGGGCTGTCGGCCAGCGTGTCCGCGCTCCTCACAGTTGTGGTAGCGGCGGCCGGCCAGCATATCTCTGCCACGGAAGAGGCAGAGGATGAGGGGTTGCAAGGGAGTAGGAGGCGGCGTTCGTGGCGGACTCCGTCTCCCTCAGCGCGGATCTGAGTTGTTGATGTTTGCCTCTCTGCGCAGATGTCGTCGGCGGAGGCGAAGGCAGCGGTGGTCCCAGAGTCTGTGCTGCTCGGGCAGGGCCAGTTCGGCACTATGTACCTCTGCGTGGAGCAGGCCAACAACAAGGAGTCCACGTGCATGTCCATCCTCATCCCCGAGACCCACTCCCTCGGCTTGGGGCAAACAAAATCAATGGCACACCACTAGACCATGCTTGGCCCAGGAGCAATCGAATGAAAATTTTAGGTATGACACAGAGGAACCACTCTATTCTTGCTATTCTTAAATAAATTGGAGTTCTAATTTTCTATGCTATGTGCAGATCCGAAATCAAGGCTACTTTGCTTCATTCCAGGTAATCTAATACTACCCAATTTTGTGATGTTTGAGTGATAATGGGATCTACACCTTTCTTTTTTTTGTTTTTCTATAGCTACTGCTTTCTACCCAGTAGCAACAGCCGTAGGTCAAAGCACATCAGCCGGCTGATTTATAGAACTATGGATGCTGCCGCTGCCGCTGCTGATTTTATATATCTATATAAGTGCTTGTCTCAGATTCACAGAAATCGGCTACTGATCCACATAGAACTATGGTGCTTGTCACAGAATAGCTATGTGATAGGATCCTTTGCAATGCTCTTTTTCTTATATAAGTTGGTGATTTTCACCTTGTAAAGGAAGGGACATGCTATTTTCTTTTATGAAAAGCAATGCCTGCAAACTTATGTTTTGCCCCTTATGCAGCTCGGCATTGATACTGTCCCAGTGCTTCTGCAAAAGGTATTTCTTCATTTGCTGATGAGCTCCTTCCTGTGCTGGAGAGACTAGAGCATTTGAAAGAGGTAAAGCTCATATATGTACTATATTAGTATTATACTAGGGCTTTAGGAGGCTGCCATGGTGTTCTCACTCTGCTTTCATACTCTTGGCACCTAGAAATTAGGCGTGTAATGCTGGGATATGCTACTATTAACAACAAATCAAATTATATGCAGTTGCTTCAATAGCTCCGACAAGCTCACTGCAATCGGTCACCACCGTCGCCACTACAGGATGATTAGCGAGTGGTTGAAGTGGAGAAGGAAGCACATGCAGCGCATACTCCATTGATCTCTTGTGTGATTTTGGTATTTGTGTGGATCTTGGCTCGAGAAATATGAGTCAATTTGATGGGATGAACTGCAATTTGTTGGGCTCATGAGGTTTGGACTGCAAAGCATCGATTGATTCATGAGCTCTAGCTGAATTTTCCCGGAGAACGCTTTCTCGGCAAGGTTGAGCCAGCAGCCGTGCAGGGTGATCTGAGAATGTTGCATACGGAGTAGTAGATAAGGACAGATACCGCACTTCTCTTCCTGTTTGGATTTACCAAGCACCTATTTTCTGTGTACAGACCACAATTATTTTTAGTGTATTAGTTGTGAATGCTTATTCTAGCACAGGATACTAAACATGTGTCTTTATGATTTATGATTTTCTCATTTCCTTTGCCTTCCTTCCCTGACATGTGTCATTTGATAAATTATATTCCCTTATATGCCAAGCAAGTTGTCTCCCTCTGTTGTGTGCATATTGATCAAATGGAACACCAGTCGCAAGGAGCTTCAACATTGATAGATCATTATTATGATTTTCGAAGGTGGTCTCTGGTTTCAAATTTGGAGATATGATTACTATGCAGATTGGATGACTTCATTAGAGACATGTCTCAATATTAGGGAGTCTTGGTTTTAATTTGAACACAACTGAAAAGTAATGCAGGCATAGGTAATCCAGTTTAATTTGATTATCATCTTGGAGTATGTACTTGTTACTTGCATTCTTATTATTATTTCCTCAATTTTGAGTTTACCACATATATTCTTTTGCAGGGAGTACAAGAATGGACTATCCATTATAGACATAATAATAGATATGGGTTCAAGTACATCTTATATTTTCTTATATATGTACATTGTTCCTTGTTTGCGAAAAAATGAAAAGATTTTGAAGGAACCTGATAGCTTGGTGAAATTCATATGAATTATTCATCTAGACAGCTGCCAAGGTACAACTTCATCTCTTTTTTCTGTCCATGGCTCCATGCCTTTGCTGGTTTTCTAGACTGTTTAGACAAATTTTAGAAGCAATGATGAAATAAAATTTGCCATCCTAACATCCTTAGAAATTTGGATTTCTCAGATCTTTAACAAATTTTGTTCCTAGGTTATGCACCATGAATTACTATTTTTACTATATTGGATACCATTTAATGAGAAATTTCACTTTTATTGCAAAATGTGTTCCTACCCCTATAGAAAAATATACCATATGTTAACTCTCATGGTTGTTTGATTTAATAGGATGTATATAGACTAGAAGGTATATTTTCTGGAGATTGGAGGCCATTGATTAATTGAGATGGATATGAAACTTAGCACAATCTATTAGTTAAATTGTTTACTTTTGTCTCAGTTTGAGAGTGACATGATAATATAATGTTGTAAGAATCAGCATGCATGTAGTCTCAGGGAGTTCTGCAAGAGGTTGTAGACCAGGGTACTGTTTGGGTGAGCACTGCTGTTTGATATTTTGTCAGATTAGTTAGTTTGCTCCTATTGATTTGTTCTAACTTCAATCTAGCCTCCTTTATTGATGAGCACTGTTGTTTGACATTTTGTCAGATTCTGTTCTTTTATGGCTTCTTACGGTGGGCTGAAGCCAATTGTGCGATTCTTCACGAAGCCTAAGAGTCACATGGTCCTGATATTTCACCGGCAAAACGCAAGTTATCTCAGTTGAATTTCTATTGTTTAAGTTAGCTAAAAAACGAATCTCACTACATGTGGAGGGTTCACTCTCTTTCAGGTCTGACTACTGCTGGATTTCCTCTCAGTGGTTGGATCGGCTGGGACACCCAATGGAGATACTCATGTGAGAGGTGGCTGTGAGGAGGTTGTTGCTGGTGGCACACTAGCACCTTGAAGTAGACCAGCAAGAGGGTGGTGATGAGGGATGAATGTTGAGGCCAAGAGAAAGATGATGAAGTTGCACTATTTGTTACTCGGATCCTTTGGGAAATGAGGTGGTAGGCGTCCGAATTGCCCAGTACAGTCCCTGTCTGAAAACCATTTCTACTAATGTTGAAGGCAAAGTGTCTCCACCGCTACATGTCCAAACAAAAT